TATATATATATATATATATATATATATATATATATATATATATATATATACTGGTTCCCACAAAAATATTAGCATTAATAATAAAATAATTAATAATAATTAAAACCTAACCCTACAATAACAATAGCGATTATAATAAATATAGCTGGGGGGCCAAATAAATTGCGGGGCCAAGCACTACAAAAGCAAGCATCGGACCAACTGCAGAAATGAGTAGTTGAAGCCATTTTAGGATGCTTTTAGTCAAAACGGCTGAAAAATCATAAATATAACCTCTAGTAACATAATTTGTTGGCTTATCACATTTGACCAATAGGTGGCGCTGTTATTAAATCGATGTGGTGTGTTCTGTGTGAGTTGGCAATGGCACACACAAAGTTTGGTGTCAATATGCCAAAGCATTGCAGCTATACAGCCTCAAGTGACATTTTGGCATCATGCCTCAAATTCGTTGCTTTGGTATGCGAAAACGGTTTTGTCTATCAACACAAAATCCATAAATTGTTGTCAGCATGGTCTGAAGATGATATGATTCGATTTTAGTGAAAATCAGACAAGCGGTCTAGGAGGAGTTCGAAATAGTAGGTTTTTAAAGAAAATCAAAATGGCAGGACAAGGAAGTATGGCTGACTATGGCAACATTGGTATCACTGTTCTCAGCATGACCCAATGAATCTATTAATACAAGTCTCATTACAATAGGCAAAATTCACAGAAAGCTATTAGCATTTATTTGAAATTTCATTATAACTTTTGACCACAAGGTGGCACTGTCTCAAAACATTTTGAGTATTTTAAGGTTATGGTCTCGAGGGTACATACAAAGTTTAATAATGGTACACCAATGCATTCGTAAAATATAGCATTTTATATCATAATAATCTATTGTAGTCAATGGCAGTTTCATGTTTTGTTCAATTATAGCGCCACCAAGAGGCACAATCCCACCAAATTTTTTATGTCTCCTTAGAGTGTGCCTATACATATGTGTGTCAAATTTGGTGAAAATATCTCATATTGTTTTGGAGTTACAGACATTTTTATATATGAGAACAGAAAAAATGACTGATTGGCGACTTTGTTTGCATTTATTTGCCACTTACTATCAAAATTTTGTCAATTGGGCAATTTGCATATAGCCGGCATGCTATGTTTTCGAATTTCCTACGGTGGTTTCGTGTCGATCGGAGTAACGATAGCTTTTTTAAGCCCTAAAATACAACGTTGCACAAACCATAAGACAAAACCTGGCATGTTTGATATCGCTGGACTCGGCAAGGATTCAGGAGTCTAAAAAGGTGACTACCCTGAAAATAAGTTGACCACACCCAAAGTTATAAGCATGTGAATATTTAATTTTACCACTATGTGGCGCTGGCTCGAAACTTCTCAGGCTCGTTCAGGGCATTGTGCTGATGACCCATACCAAGTTTCGTCATGATACATCAATGCGTTGATAAAATATAGCATTTTACTACAAAATTCAAAATGTCCGACGCCCAAAATGGCTGACATAGGAAAATTGGATATCATTCGACTCGAATCTAAAGAGACCAGTTTTGTGATTTTTGGCCAAACCATTCAGAAGTTATAAGCAAAAATATGAAACACCGAAACACAGCAGGTAGGCTCAGGTAATGCTTGTTACAACACACACCAAGTTTGCTCTCAATACGCCAAACCGTTGCGGAGAAATAGCCTCAGATCCAATTTTGCGTGCTTTTCGTAAAATTCGTTTGCGCCTTATTCGAGAACGGTTGGACGAATCAACTTGAATTACATAACGTTTTGCCAGCATGGTCTGAAGATGATCTGACCCAATTTTGGTGAAAATCAGGCAAACTGTCTAGAACGAGTTCGAAAAAGTAGGTTTTATAAACAATTAAAAATAGCGAAAAAACTAAACCTTACCGATTTTTTTATTTTGGTGTCTATTCGACTCGGCATAAGCCAAGGATTCAGAGGAAAAAAGAATTTTCGGGTCGAAAGTTATTAGCATAAACATGAGTGAAAATTTGGACACGTGGTGGCGCTAGAGAGTTTGAGTTAGACTCCAAATTTGCTATGGTTAATGTTGGGACTGTCCTCTATAAGTGTGCCAAATTTCACAACTTTCCCACAAACGGTTCTATGGGCTGCCATAGACACAATAGCGGAAGAAGAAGAAAAAGAACGCCAACGGATACAATAGGTGCCATCGCACCTTCGGTGCTTGGCCCCTAATAACAACAACAACAACAACAATGTTTCGTTAGCACCAAATCAGCATATTAAAATGATTTCTGAAGGATAATTTGACACTGAAAATTCAGCTTTTCCATCACAGGATTAAATTACTATTAAAATGTATTATTATTATGAATTATTATATTTAAAAATATTAAAATAGACATGTTATTTTAAATTGTAATGTTCTCATTATTATTATTATTATTTTATTAATGTTATTATCTCAATACTGTTTTTACTGTACCAAATTAATGCAGTCTTGGTAAGCATAAGAGATTTATTTTAAAAACATAACAAACATCTCACAGAACCCAAACTTTTGAACAGTAGTTTGCATGTATTAGATAAAAGTGTAATATATGATAAATATTTAAATCAACACTTAAATTATATCACACTGATGATTTGGGATTCACAACTTTGCCATAATCAACCATTTTCCTTACTGTAATTCCCTTCATTCCTTTCTCTGTTTTAATGCGGTCAAATTCAGTTCTAACCAAAGCAAATGTGTTTTCAATATTGACTGTTTACAATTATGAATGTAAAAGGGACCAAAAAAGACAAATGTTGTATTGTAAGGCACTATTGTAAAGCAGAATAACATACTCCCAGTTCACTTGAGTGATGTGCAATTAAAGAGAGTGCACTTGTCTCACATTTGACAGGTACTGATGCTGGTACAGCAATGCCTGGTGTGGCATTGTGATTAATTATGGATTATATACACATAACATGTGTTTTAATTCATCTGGCTGTGATAAACATCTTTCCAATGACACCTAGTAGACAGTAAATTATGTGACGTGAGCTGGTTGCTGGTTCGAATCCCACAAGCTCTAATCAATAACACTGTAAGGTTAAAAGGGATCAGCTAAATGAAAATGACTAATTTTCATTGTTAATTTCAGTAGTATGTTCCTGGTTAATGTTGCATATATGCATTATCAATTAAACCAAGAAAATCATCACTCAAGGGCATGTTTAAACTCCCACATCCTCCAGTCGTGTTGTCCAAACCCAAGGGTACGAATCTGCACTGATATCTGCTGATTTTTCTCTGAAGTGGCAATTGGATCCTACATATATAATACATTACAAATGTTTAAAAATGGAAGGTTCACTCTCATTAATAATAAACC